AGCAGCAGGCTTCAGTGCAGGTAGTTCAAGCCTGACATTGATCCTGTGTATGTATTCTACTCACGCTGAAGCCCATGCTGTGCTAACTTTTCACCTCTGAGCACACATGTAGATCAGTTGTCAGGTCACTGACCCTATGGTCCTGATTTTCAGGAAGGTCTCAAGCCAGCCTTTAGTACTGCAGGCCTAGTTTGAGGCTCACAAATCAAACATCTGAAATAAACCCTGGGAATAGATTAAAAAATCATTTTCAAAGTTGTTCACAAAATCCTGTTAACAGGTTATAAATATATAATAGTGGTAAGTGCTATTACAGAGAAGGTTCCATACTGATTTCCAGTCCTGTTTTTACTCTTTCATAACTTTCTGAAATTCTCACCTTTCATCCTGATATTTTTCAGGCTTGGTATTTTACCAATGGTACATTTTTGGGGAAGTTTGAGCAAAAACATTCCAGATATTTGTATATAATAGAAAAATATAGTATTATATAAAATAAATAGTTGCAACCTATTGCAGCAAGTGAGGTTTAGGTTGGACATTAGGAAAAACTTCCTAACTGTCAGGGTGCCTAGGGAGGTTGTGGAATCTCCATCATTGAGATTTTTAAGAGCAGGTTAGACAAATACCTGTCAGGAATGGTCTAGATAATACTTAGTCCCGCCATGAGTGCAGGGGACTGGACTAGATGACCTCTCGAGGTCCCTTCCAGTGTAATGATGCTATGATTTTTGAATAGCTATACAGTTGAAATGGTTGAGATTTGAAAGCTGAAATTTCGTAGGGACATAGCTCTCTATAAGGATCCATGCACAGCCTTGTTTCAGAGTAATTGGTTTTGATTTGACCAAATCATGAAAATTTAATAATTCCCTACTGAGCATGCATAATATTTGTATTAAGCTTGTTAAATTACATCAAAGGCACAATTAATTTAGCTGTGCAGTGGATTATATCATTGTCAGAATGACTCCAAACTGTCCAGGGGAAACCAAAGTTTTGGCAAATGAGATCCACTCCTGTGTATGGATAAGCTCCTGAGAAGTTCCTAAGCACTGCTGGAGCAAATTTCCTCTACTGTTTTGCAGGATTTTAGCTTCAGCTCTGCAGAGTGAGGAGCATTGAATTGAAGCATGCAGGTGAATTGCTGCCCAGATCCTAAAGTCTTCAGTAACAGGAGTGTAGTTTCAATCCTGAGGGCTTAATGAGCCATTGAAGCATCCAGGTAAGTGAAGAGTTCCTAGGCTCCGCAGAGGCAGAGCAGAGCTCCTCAAGGCCTTTGGATGGAGATTCTGCAGCAGTGATGCATGAAGATAAACTCCTGACCAAATGCTAAATTCCTCAAGTGCAGGAGTTTAGCTTTGATGCTGGTCTGCCAAGTACCTGTGCTAATGCTGCTATGTTCACTCTATTATACTTCATCTGTAGTATATTGTGTAAGGTACTTCTTCACTGCAGAGTTAGCCTGGGTGAGCTGCATCTGGGTTAGTCTAGTTTGGGTGTGAGCAGCCACACTGCATAACTGTACCTGAGTTACTGTGCCCTAATTGCTGCTACACTTCGCCATGTATGTTGCTAGAACATCCGGGAATCCCATGATGCTTTGTGCTGCAGTATGCTGAACTCCAACAGCAGGGAACTGCCAGAACTTTTCCCTGCTGCCTCCCCACTGCCAGAGCCTTTCACTGCAACACCGAAAGGCTCTGGCAGCAGGGAAGCAGTGGGACACTACACTGCTAAAAACTGCTGTGTAGATGTGGGAGGCTTGGGCATGTAGTGTGCCGTGTTGCGTATCTACTTTATGGTTCTGGCATCTCTCTCCTAAGCAGTGCCTCATTATCTACACTGCCATTTGTACACATGCTAGCTAGGCATGCTGTGTTTGTACTCTACATGCCACTGTAAGTGTAGACGTAGCCTATGATTCTTTCCCAGTGAATTGTGGGGAGAACTTAACTGTCCTTCTAGGCATGTGGGGGGAATTATGTGAAGGCATTGAATGACTATCAGCAACTAAATGACTTAGCCCCATCCTCATTGCAAAGCGAATGTGTTAACAGCCCAACTGAAAATGAAACCAGAGCTCTAATCGATATGCACAGCCATGCCGGTTACCCTGTGTTGAAAGCACCACCAAACTCAGATGAGAGGTTTTTGTGTATGGATGGGAGGCGGGGTTAGAGGCAATGCCTGAGGAAGAGCCCAGACTAACTTTGCAGTATAGACATACATTAAGTATGGCATTATTTGTGCTTTTTTAAAATAAATTACTCTTGCAGACTTTGTCCAGTCCCCTCAGAGCAGTGTACTGCAAGAGGATACAAATACTCTTGAGGCTACAGTTAAATGCTATGATATCTTACTTGAGAAATGGTATGTGATCATGTTATAAACAACAGTACTATAATGCATATGTACAAGACATTTTTGTGACAGAATCTCCACGATAAGTACCAAAATGTTCTGATACAATTTGATGGGAAATATGTATTGCTGGTTTGGCTGGTATATGTGAAGCTTACTTGCAGGAAAGAAGACACATATTTCTGCAGGAGAGACAGTGCTATACCCTATCAGGAATCCTTGATGGTTAAGAGAAAATATAGGGGTAATAAAATGTAATGCAAATAATCCATTAAAAACTCTGAGTCCCGGGTAGGGTAGTCATTAGTGTTTCTAGGCACAAGAAACATTAGAAAGTCCCCATTACCTCAACTCTGTCTTTCTGTTGTCTCTCTCTTTCATCTATCTATACCCCCACTTTTGGCCCTACCAAATGACACATCAGTTTGAGAACCTGAGTCTGCCAAAGGGGAGTGTTGTGTGGTGGCAGAAAGCTCCTATCACAGATGCCAGTGGGAGCTAGGCCAGTGTATCTGTGGGCTAGATGTGGCAGAGTGTAAAGAGCATTTAAATTATTTAACACTTATGAAATTATGATTTTTGGTGGTGACATTTTATCCACAACTCTTGGAGGTTTACATCGGAGAAAACTGCATAGGTAAGATGCTGAGGCTTGGATTTGGACTGGATGAGGTAGGCCTACTCCGATTTGCTGGTGATGTCATGTTTTATTCATGAGTATTTTTTATGAATGCATTCAGAGACATATTAGGTGATTTCCAAAAGAATCTTCCCAAGTGCTGAGTTGTGTGTTTTTAGAGACTTTCAATGTATCAGCCCCCAATGGGAGTTTGAACTATGGAAGAAAGGCAAGGATAAATCTTTCAATGTGAACAGATTCATGAGGGTTCGTTGGTAAGGCAGCTAGCTACCTGTCTTGTTCAACACCACATGCTCTCCTGGGAAGACTTGTATCTCCAGGCTTTTTAAAATGATAAAAATAAGTCTGTCTATTATTATTTATATTACAATAGCATTTAGAGCTTCCCCTCCACATAGGATCAAGTTAGGTTCTGTTGAAGTCAATGGCAACCCCTCCCCCTGACTTCAGTAGGGCCAGGCTCTTACCCAAAGTGCCCCAAGACACATAAGGAGCCTTTGAGAGAGCTAGGAATTGAACACACTTCTTGTGAGTCCTTAGCTAGTGCCTTAACAATGAGGCCATCCTTCTTCTCACCTACCTAAAGATATAGCTGAGTCCACTATTGGGGTGATTATCGTTATTTGGTGTGATAATGCCTGGAGACCCCAGTCAGGCATCATGGTCCAATTATTGTTTAAACATCTATTAAAAGACAGTCCTTATCCAGAGTAGCTTACAAGGAAGGACTATAACCAGAGAGATATTTTGCTGCTGCTTGAAGTAAAAGAGTTCACATGAGTTTGGTGATCCCCTTCATTCCACTTTATTAACCTTGGGAACAGAATGCTTTTTGGCTCTCTTTGTGTCTTTTAAATAAGAAATTATTGTAGGATTGTTGCCAAGTTTTCTTTTATATACCCTCAAACAATGGGAATCAGACAAATTCAGTCCTTGTACCAAAATATTTTCATCACCCTAGAAAGCATCTTCAGATTGCTGAGGATTATTAATAATGTAGTTTTGATTTTATTAGGTTTATTGATACAAATGTTTAAAAAGTAAACTAGATGTAGCAAGCAAATATAAGTGCCCAGAAGGAGAGAACTGTTTGTGAGATCATGAGATTGAAGCAAGATCACTTCTTTGTTCCTTATAGATCATCCATTTTTAAACTAGTAACAGAGGCATCTTTCCATAATGATACAAGGGAGGGGGGGAGAATGCCCATCTCAGCTACAAAGGTGGACACCAGGAGTAGTTCCTTTGGAGTTACTCTGGATTAAGTGAGGTGAAGATTTTGGCCAGGTTTTAAAATGTCAAGACACAGAGGATGTGAGGGGATTACATCTACTGGGTCTTGATATAAAACAGGGAAATCCCCCCTCTCCTTCCCATCTTCTTGTAGAAACAAGCTTGCCAGGGAGCTAGGGCGAGTATAACCCGTGTCCTGTAGCTCCCCCAGCCTTTGCTTCATAACGGGTTTGAGCCAGTTTCGGAACCCGATTGTTGTTGCCTGGACTTTGACACGTCGCTGCCCATCCTGCCCGGCAGGAGCATTTCCCCCAAGCCGGGATCGCTGCTGCCGCTGCCACTCCCAGGGGAGGGCGGGGTGGGGGGGACAGCAGGAGTTCAGCTCTCGGGGGAAGCCCCAGCAGTTCGGCGCGGTCGGCTCTGCCTGAGCTGGGCAAGGCCGGGGTTGTCCTGGGCGCTCGTGCCAGCGGCCCCGCTCCCGCCCAGCGCGAAGGCCCGTGGAGGGGCTGGACGAGCCCCCTCGCTCTCCCCCCCCACCCCCGGGCTCGGGCAGCCCTTTATTGTGGGCCGCGTCCCTCCTGCCCCCGCGCCGCAGACACGCCGGCTGCGCGCGGACACACCTTCCCGCCCCTACGCCTCCCCAGAGCGGCCCCCCGGCCCATGCCTGCCCCCGACCCCGGCTCCTCAGCCCAGGGGCCGGGGCCGCGCGGCGGCCGGATCGGGCCCCGGGTGCCGGACGAGGCGCGGCCAGCGCAGACCCGCGATGCTGCCCACCGCCCTGGGCTGGGGCGTCGCGGGCTCCTCGGCGCTGCTCGATCTACCGGCGCCGCCTGGCTCCGGCAACCTGGGCAAAAGTTTCCTGATCGAGAACTTGCTGCGGGCGGCCCCGCCGAGCCCCGCCCGGCCCCTCCCCGGCCCGCTCACGCTGTGCCCGGCGGCGGAACCAGCCAGCCCCGCGGGGGGGCCCGGCCCGGCCCGATGGGCTTGTCCCCGGCTTCACCCCTCCGCCGCGGCCAGCAGCGGGCTGCCAGCGCGGGCTCCGGACAGAGCCACCGGCATCTTCCCTCCTGCAGCCACAGGTGAGCGCGCTCCCCTCACCCCGCAGCAGCGCCCCGCCCGGGGTACACCGGCCCCCGACAGCGCCGGCAAAACTTCCCCTTGGGAGCTCGCTGGGCAGCGGGCGGAGTCATTCATCAATTAGAGACACCCTAGACTCCAGCCCGGTCCAGAGGCTGAGAGCCTGGCTCTGCCGCAGCCTATGGGGCTGGGATGTCCCCGAGGGTATTTCGCAAGTTCATCCCCCCCCCCCCTGCACAGAATAAGCTTTGGTTTAATGTTTTTAAATTGCTCAGTTCAAGCCCCCGACCCTTGTGCCCAGCTGTGTAATTGCCCACCTCTTGTCTTCCATTTAGCTGCTAATGTTGATGGCTGGTGATTTACTTGTGTGGCAAACACCTTGATAGAAGCGTTTGCGGAGTATGGTTGGCCAATTCCAAAGTACTGGTAAATAAAGTTATACAATTCAAAGAAGTGCAACTGCATTTTAAAAAGCATTTTTTTTGCATCAGTTGGAAAATCAATACTCAATTGCAGTAAATTCCCCCCCCCCATTGTTCCCTTAGAAATATCTAAATAAATAGTATTCCTTATGCAGAGTCCTATTGACTGAGTAAAAGTAATTGTAGTTTCTGCCCTCAAATTACTATCTATATGGATTATAGAGAGGGGGTGATAGATATTCATGTTTATAAAAATTATGCTCCCCCCAAAAAAACTATTGTCTTAGAACCAGAGTGGCTATATCAGTGAGGTTATTTTAAATATTTTTTTCTTCTATTAATATTTTTAGTGTTTTCAAACACCTCTGGGGAAATCAGGATTGATGCTATGAAAATTGAGAACTATTCATTGAGCTGCTTCTGCTCCCACTGAAATCTCAATGGCAGTTTGGATATTGATTTCATTGCAGCACTGTCTACCAGGATGGATTAAAAACAGAGCCTTGTGTCCGAAGTAAAAGGTTAAATCTGCTGTTATATGATATAATATACAATTATAAAGGGGTTTAAATCTTCTTAAGGAAAATTTCCCCCTGTGCAAGACCAAAGTGTTCTTTAAATCAGTTCTGAATGGCAGGGTTATGAAAGAAAGTCTGTTGTGGTCTTTCTCTTTGTTCAAGAGGGTAGTATAGAATGACCAGTAAACATTAATCTGTCATATTTGACCCATTTCCTCATATAACAGCTGATTAAAACTAGGTTACTGTCCTGCATGCCTGTGGATTAATAACCACAGCAAAATGTTTAACAATTTAAATCTTTATAATGAGGACTTTAAATCTTCCTTAGTCCTTGATCTTTCAGTGCTGCTAAATGATTGCAATCTGAAATGATATCAGAGGGTTAACCATGAACAAACACAGATGATAGACCTGAAATCCTTCTGAGTTTAGGAAACACAAGAAAGATCAGATTCTTAGGTACAACAAAGGGTGCAAGATTGGGCCTTTTGTAGCAAAAGGAAATTGAATTGAGACATAGCTACAATTTTCTTGAAGTTCTGACAAAACACTAGAGGCAAAATTCACCACAAAAACTTTATTAGAAGTTTGCAAAATATGTCTAATACTATAATCACTTCTACGTTAAAATAAAAGCCACTGCTCTCAGTATCTCTATAGTCTAATAAAGATTTGTCACTTAAACTGGTAATGCTACTTGGCAGTAATCTGAACTGTGCAAAGTTTTGCTGTACTATTTGGCGATCATAGTTTTTTATTTATTATGGCTAGGTTTAACTGCACTGCAAGTTTGAACCATATAAAACTTTTCCAGACAAATTATGCTTCTTTAGTGTGTTACTTTACATGTGCATTTTGTTGTTAGAAATTAAAAAAAATATAGGTTTGAGGAATATATACCTTGTCCAGTTATGGAAGGAATGTTCAAAGCTGGTTTAGAAATTAATTCATTAAAACTGGATAATGAATTAAATGTATATCTATTAATTAAAATTCCCACTAGAACATACCTACTTGTTCTAGACCAATATAATATTTTCAGAGTCTTGGAGTATATTTAAATGAAAAGAAAAAAATATGTATTTAAAATCAAAGTAAACAAACCAATATTACTTGGAGTACAACCTTAAACTACTACTGCAAAAGGTGTGTATTAAAACCAAAAATGAAAACATGGTATATTCTTTCAAAATGCTCTGGAATATTTTTTATTTTATTTTAAATGAAATCCTGCAAGTAGCTCCTACTTGTAGTTCCATTGACTTCAATGAGTCTACTCCAAGAAATTAGCAGGACTGGGCCAGGTAGGTGCATGTTTAAATTTTCAAATAATCAAAAAAATTTGAAACTATTTTAACTTACTTTTCCCTCTTACTTCATACTAACTCAGTTAAAAGCAGTTAAGGAAATGAGAAAGGATGCACATTTCACCTGATTTTGAGTAAATGTTGTTTATATTAAAAAAGGAAATGAATTCCCAGAGAATTCCCCAAAGATCATCTCATCACTATTTCTAGTTGTTAGAAACTAGGTGGAAGTTACTGAGTGCCCAATCTTGCAAATAGTTGCATGATTAGTTCTTACTCTTGCTAGCAGGCCATGGGGACATGAGTTCTGGATACTCAGATGAGTAAAGAGTTGCAGGGTGAGACTCTTCAAGTGGCAATGGACCTGATCTGAGTTTCTCTTGAGCTCAAAGTTTCCATTGACTTCAGTAGGAACCTTGGGTTGAAGGATCTGTCCCTTATTACTTGAAACAAGGAATGCTGGGTCCAATCCTTCCTTATTTACTCAGGCAAAATTCTCAGTAAAGTTTTTAAAAAGCCGTAAACATTATATGGACAGTTTCTGATCTCAGTTACATCGGTGTAAATGCAGAAGCTGTTGCCTTGTAGGAGGTGCCCTGAACTTTAATAATTGCAAATTAGTTCAGAAACTGGCCTTTACTACTGGATTCTACAGCCTATATTCAGGTAAGGAGTCATTTCTCATTAGATTAATCCCAATGGAACTAGTCACTTGATTATGGGCTATATTTGTGAGTAAAGGTGCCAGGATCAGGCCCTTATGTTATTTTTCTTGTTGATGCAACCGTTAGAAGGACAAGAGTTTTGTCAGAGTAAGGATGGTAGGAGCAAAATAAAGGTGTTTTAACTAGAAGATTTATACTATATACTATACTTACTGACTGATTCTTATGTGGTATCTAGGGATACTTACTTTTTTCCATTTAAAAAGCTATACGCTTGGGTAATGTCACAATGTTTATTATAAGATTTTTCTTCACGTAGTAAATGTGCATGGAAGCGTTCCTATATATCCCAGTAGGATAATTCTCAGAGGTCAAAATTTTCAAAATGACCACTGATTTTATGTTTTTGGATATGCAATGCGAGGTCACTTAAAAGGGCCTGATTTTCAGAAAGTGCTGGGCATTCACCCTCTGAAAATCAGACCCCTTTAAGTTGTCTCAAGTTCAGCACTCAAAACCAGTATTGATGAAAATCTTGGTCCAAGTCTTAACTAAAATGAATGATCATGACAAAGCGAATTGAGCTCTTATGGCTTTATGTATACTTTGAGCTAGTTACTGTAGCAGAATTTCTTAGCATTCAGTTATATTTAAAAGGAAAAAAGTATACTTTTCAATGAAGGGGAACTGAAATGTATCATAAATATTGTATTCATCCTGTATTGCTTATGTGTCCAAAACTTCCAGTGAGGTTAATGGGAGTATTAGGAGAGCAAGGAATGCACAATCAGTCTGGAAACTGAAAATCTGAATAAACCGAACCTTTGCTACAGTTCTGAAAATAACAAGTATCCACAACTTCTATAAAAAAATTAACAAATGGGCTTGATTTATAAAATCTTTTAACACCGTGTAAGAACCCAAATCCTGGTTTCTGTTTGAACCTTAAAACTCCCATCAATGCCTTCAAGGGATGCAGGATGACACCCTTTATCTGTGACATCTGACCATGGCAACATCTGATTGCATTAGAGCTCGGCCATTGACTGCCTCAGCCATTGTGACTCTCCATCAGCAGTGCTTTATCGTGTGCCTTTTCATTCCTGTTGGGAATTACAAAGGGTCTACATTTATAGTTCCATATTTTTAGCCCCATGTGTACTTTAATAATAGTGCCAAAATGTCCCCAGTGAAAAGCTGGATGACGAACAGTCATCCACAAAACATCACGCTATGAGATATGTCACACAGTGAGCAGTGTTCAAAGAGACATCCCTTTGCTGGCTATGAGGCCATTGAAGGGGTTAAAATGAATGCTTGCCTTCGCTGTATTGTACAACTGAGTTATGGAATTTTAAGCTTATTTTAAATTATTTTGGTTTTTAATGATTACTACCATGTGCAAATAGTATACTATATAAAAGTTAAACCATAAAGGCAAACACAATGGGATCCTCAACTTGTGTAAACTGGTTGTAGCTCTATTGAGTTCAATGGAGTTATGTCAATTTACACCAGCTGAGGATCTCTTGCACCACAACTAGTAAAGAAAAATATTTTAACTGTTGACTCTGACTGCTTAAACACCTATGGCCATTAATTCTGGAATGACAGGCCTAATTAGTCTTTGGAACTCATAACCACAGGATATAGTTGTGACCTTGTACTTAGTAGGATTTTAAAAAGGATTAGACATTTATATTAATAGCAAGAGTATCTCGAGTTATCACAGTAAATATTAAAATAATAAAGAGGAGTTTTTGAGGCATATAAGCCTTCATTTTTCAGGGCATAAGCCAGCCATTAACTACTGGGAGTTATGAGGGAAGGTTCCCTGGAGGTAGGTTATCCCATGACCACCTACTGCTGGGTTTCTTACATCTTACTCTGAAACATCAGAGGATAGAATTTGTCCTACTCTGTATACTATGGGCTTGATCCTGATGCTCCACTGCTTTGTGTAGTCATTTACACCTGTATAAAATGCTGCCCTTCTGATCCGGTTAAAATTGACATCCACTTTGCACTCACAAGTCTAAATGACTGCACAAAGTGCAAGGCAGTGAAGAATCATGCCACCTCTTTAA